AGACGCCTTCATCATGTGTCTGCATGTGGATCTGCAGTCGGTGCACCTCAAATGCTCCAACCCTCAGGTACTGCCGCGTTTCCCATCAGCCCACTGCATTCTCTAAAGAAAATAAATATGTATGTATGTATGTATAGAGATTAAATCCAGCAGTCTGATATATGTTTTATATATATGTTTAATGTTGTTGTTTTTTTGTAAATATAAAATTTTTATATATTTTTTTTTTTTCAGTCAATTCTGTGGATTCATTGCACTGATTCAATCCATTGTTCATACCTGTGACCGATTCAAACCAGCTTTGATACAGGGCTCAACAATAATGATTTATTTTCTAGAAATAATATTAAAATAACTGGATGTACAGGATTAATGAATGTAAGTATTCAGTGGCAGCAGCAGTGACCCATTCGAGGTTTGAGTCATCCTAACGGTGGAATCCTGTCCTGAAAGTAATTTGCAGTGATTCGTCCTGACGCAGAGCCTCGGCAAACACGCTTCACTGGCGGAAACATGAACGTCCTTCTGTTGTTGATCTGCACAGAAACACACGATTCACTTGATCCTCTCTGGAAACGTGAGATCCAGACTGTTTGTTCTGAACGCCGGCGCTCACGTCTGCTCTCGTATGGAGCATCTCGTTGTTTGGGTCCATGTGAAATTAATGTTGACGTATCTGAGCGCAGATCTGTGAGCGCTACTGATTGCTGCGAGCCGATTGGCTGCCGCTCTCTCCGTGCCATCAGCTGTGAGCGGAATGTGGCGGAAAGGAAATGTGTGTTAAATAATCGCTGCCCCAAAAAAGCTGCAGAAGCAGAACTGCAGCGAGATGAAGATAAAACAGCAGGAGGAAAAAATTATTTGCTCGTTTGTGATTTTGTGGATATACTAAATCTATTCGGTTACCATGACTCACGGACGTGTCATACCGGCTCCTGGCCTCTCTGCCTGTCTGTCTCACTCTGTCTCCGTGTGTCTCTCTGTCTGTCTCTGTGTGTCTCTCTGTCTGTCTCACTCTGTCTCTGTGTGTCTGTCTGTCTCCTCTGTCTCTGTGTGTCTTATCTGTCTGTCTCACTCTGTCTCTCTGTGTCTATCTGTCTGTCTCACTCTGTCTCTTTGTGTCTCTGTCTCACTCTGTCTCTGTGTGTCTTATCTGTCTGTCTCACTCTGTCTCTGTCTGTCTCACTTTTTCTCACTCTGTCTCTGTGTGTCTGTCTGTCTCACTCTGTCTCTGTGTCTCTCTGTCTCACTTTTTCCTCACTCTGTCTCTGTGTGTCTGTCTGTCTCACTCTGTCTCTGTGTGTCTATCTGTCTGTCTCACTCTGTCTCTCTGTGTCTGTCTGTCTCACTCTGTCTCTGTGTCTCTGTCTGTCTCACTCTGTCTCTGTGTCTCTCTGTCTGTCTCACTTTTTCTCACTCTGTCTCTGTGTGACTGTCTGTCGCACTCTGTCTCTGTGTGTCACTCTGTCTCTTGTCTGTCTCACTCTGTCTCTGTCTGTCTCACTCTGTCTCTGTGTGTCTATCTGTCTCACTCTGTCTCTGTGTCTATCTGTCTGTCTCACTCTCTGTGTGTCTATCTGTCTGTCTCCCTCTGTCTCTGTCTGTCTCTCTCTGTCTCTCTCTGTCTCTGTGTCTATCTGTCTCTCTCTCTCTGTCTCTGTGTGTCTGTCTGTCTCACTCTGTCTCTGTGTGTCTGTCTGTCTGTCTCACTCTGTCTCTGTGTCTCTCTGTCTGTCTCACTCCATCTCACTCCGTCTCTGTGTCTCTCTGTCTGTCTCACTTTTTCTCACTCTGTCTCTGTGTGTCTGTCTGTCTCACTCTGTCTCTGTGTCTCTGTCTGTCTCACTCTGTCTCTGTGTCTCTGTCTGTCTCACTCTGTCTCTGTGTCTCTGTCTGTCTCACTCCGTCTCACTCTGTCTCTGTGTCTCTGTCTCTCTGTCTGTCTCACTTTTTCTCACTCTGTCTCTGTGTCTCTGTCTGTCACACTCTGTCTCTGTGTCTCTGTCTGTCTCACTCTGTCTCTGTGTGTCTATCTGTCTCACTCTGTCTCTGTGTGTCTCTGTCTCACTCCCTGTGTGTCTATCTGTCTGTCTCACTCTGTCTCTGTGTGTCTATCTGTCTGTCTCACTCTCTGTGTGTCTGTCTCACTTTGTCTCACTCTGTCTCTGTGTCTATCTGTTTCTCTCACTCTGTCTCTGTGTGTCTATCTGTCTGTTTCACTCTCTGTGTGTCTGTCTCACTTTGTCTCACTCTGTCTCTGTGTATCTGTCTGTCTCACTCTGTCTCTGTGTGTCTATCTGTCTCACTCTGTCTCTGTGTGTCTATCTGTCTCACTCTGTCTCTGTGTGTCTATCTGTCTCACTCTGTCTCTGTGTGTCTCTGTCTCACTCCCTGTGTGTCTATCTGTCTGTCTCACTCTCTGTGTGTCTATCTGTCTGTCTCACTCTCTGTGTGTCTATCTGTCTGTCTCACTCTGTCTCTGTCTGTCTCACTTTGTCTC